CCAATGGAAGAAAGACCTTTCTCTCTGTCTCTCTCTCTCACTATCTATATCTCTACCTGTCAAATAAATTTTAAAAAAAGAGACACATGTTTAAAAGCAAATTATTGTATATAATGTAGTTATTAAAAATATTTATACCCCTTGGACTTCAGTTCCTTCATTTTTAAATGGAGAAAAGAAGGTCTGGCATTGTAGTGCAGCAGGTTAAACCATGGCCTATGAACCCAGCATACCATGTGAGCACTGGTTTGAGTCCTGGCTGCTCCACTTCTGAACCAGCTCCCTGCTATTGTGCCTGAGAAAGCAGTGGAAGATGGTTCAGGAGCTTGGGTCCCTTCCACCCATGTGGGAGAACTAGATGAAGCTCTCGGTTTCAGCTCAGGCCAGCGCTGGGCCATTGTGGCCATTTAGAGAGAAGATTCTCTTTCTCTCTCTCTCTCTCTCCCCAGCTACCTTGAAAATAAATAAATAAATCTTTTAAAATATTTAGAATTTTAAGATATTTAGAAAAATAGGGCTGGCGCCATGGCTCACTTAGTTAATCCTCCGCCTGCAGCACTGGTACCCCGGGTTCTAGTCCCGGTTGGGGTGCTGAATTCTGTCCCAGTTGCTCCTCTTCCAGTCCAGCTCTCTGCTGTGGCCTGGGAAGGCAGTGGAGGATGGCCCAAGTGCTTAGGCCCTGCACCCGCATGGGAGACCAGGAGGAAGCACCTGGTTCCTGGCTTCGGATCGGCACAGAGCCAGCCGTAGCAGCCATTAGGGGAGTGAACCAACGGAAGAAAGACCTTTCTCTCTCTCTCTCTCACTGTCTATAACTCTACCTGTCAAATAAAAAAGAAAAAGAAAAAGAAATATATGACCTCAGTATCAATATATCAATTATATTTCTATACTCCATCAATAGCACTTAGAAAATGAAATTTAAATGATATTACATTTAATGATTGACAAAATCAAAAAATAAATAAAAGATGTGCAAGACTTCAACCAAAAGTTTTACTGATAATATCAAATGCCTGTGAGGACCAATAGGAACTCAAACATTGATGATAGAAGTGGAAATATGGACACACTAGTATACAGATTGGTAGTATCTAGTAATGTTGAAAATACACATACTCTATGAGCCAGTAATCTCTCTCCTGGATGTATGCCCTGTGTGTGCACATTTGCACCAAGATACATAAAAAGATGTTCACAGCAACATTTTTTTGAAAGATTTATTTATTTGAAAGGTAGAGTTACAGAAAGAAAGAGAGAGGCCTTCCATCCACTGGTTCACTCCCCAAATGGCTGCAACCACCAGAGCTGAGCTGATCCAAAGCCAGGAGCCAAGAGCTTCTGGGTCTCCCACAGGGGTGTAGTGGCCCAAGGACATGGGCCATCTTCTGCTGCTTTCCTAGGCACATTAGCAGGGAGCAGGATTGGAAGTGGAGCAGCTTGGACTTGAACAGGCACCCAAATGGAATGCTGTTGCTGCAGATGGTGGTTTAATCTGCTACACCACAGCACCGGCCCCAGCAACATTTTTCATAATGCCCTCAATGGAAACAAACCAAATGGATTTCAACAGTAGGATGGATAAATAATTTCTTGTAAAGTTATAGAATGGAATTGTAATGCAACACTGAGAATGAACCAATGCTACATACAACAAACGCTGAATCTCACAAACATAATTGTAGGGGAAGTGAGACAGATACAGAAGGATGCATGTGTTGTAGTTCTGTATATGCAAAGTTAAACCTATAGGAGGGTACTTCAAGAAGTTCATGGAAAATGAATAGGTGGCAGAGGTTCAAATGCTTGAGCTTTCATTGGCTGCTTTCCCAGGTACATTAGCAGGAAATTGGGTCAGAAGCAGAGGTGCCAGGACTGGAACCAGTACTGGGATATGGGATGTAAGCATTGCAAGTGGCAGCTTAACACCCTGCACCACAACATGGGCTCCTCCTTCATACTTTGTTTCATCACTTGACCATAGAAAATCCTCTTCAGTGATTTCATAAAAAATGGATTTTATTGTAGTTTTAAAAGAGATTGCTTTTGAACATTTGATTCTTTTAATTCCTTTCATAACAGGAAGATTTATTATAAAAAAAGAACTAGTAAACAGTTGCATACAATTTATACCTATTTCTCAAATGTACCTGGAATTCATATTTAGTGTCATAGGAGAAAGTAAACGGACCATTTTCCCAATCAGGTAATGCAGTTCTTCCTAGCACCACCAGCTCTGTACCTACCCCCAACCCCCACTGGCTTCTGCAGCTATCTCCTCTTGCATATGCTAAATTTACAACCACATGCACTGAATGTGAAAGCATAGACTGGAAACATGCTACTTGAACTGAATTTGATAATGTATCTCTGAAGGGGAGAGGGGGATGGTTTCTAGGCAGCAGGAGTGGGGGTAGGAGGATGGCTCCAACAAGGAGGGGAAAAGAAAGGTAGAAAAACACTCTATCAAACAGTGTTCTTCAAAGATTCTAGTCTTGTGTGGGACATACAAGCCACTTGCTGCTGTGACATTCAGCTGATTATGGCTTTTGACCTCAGTTTCCTTATGACTTATATGCATATCATAATAACACCTACCTACATCACAGGGTACTCTGCACAGAGAAGCTAACCCAAAAAAGGAATACAGGCTTTGGAGTTAGTTAATCCAGTGTTTCACCCTTAGCTCCATCACTAAATAGCCACATGATCCTAAGTAAGTTTCCTAACTTAACAGACTGTTTCCTATTCTGAAATATATACCAATTAATTATAATTAAACTGGCATCAATAATAAATTATAAACAGAAAGTAATAATGCTATCTTAGCAGAATTATGAGGATTTACACGCTAATGATGCATTTAAAGGGATTGGCACAGGATGCCTGGCATATAATAAGTTTTTAATAAGTCATAGTGATTTTAATTTTTAATCACTATTATGAGAGGATCAGAAAGAGAAAGAAAATTCATCAAAGAGGGATTGAGAGATAGGCACTGCAAAGATCTGGGAACGGGAAGCCATGAGACGGGTGTCATGGAAACAAGGGAAAATGCTATGAAGAAGGAGCATGATGATGCAAAAGGAGGTCACTCAAAGTCTAGTTTCTCCTGACCAGACAAAAGAGTATTTTTCATTTCTTTACAGTGAATGACAATGAAGGGAGAAAGAAAGTGCGGGGATGATTATTTTAAACGAAAGGCAGCAGGCTCAAAATTTTCCAAAACGTGTTTAACTGCATTAGCCCGGTGCTCCCAGTGTCATCCAATTAGGGAAGACACATATGTATGCTTCTTGAATAAAGGGAAAACTGGCATCCCATAAGGTGAGCTGAAAAGTATCAGTTTGGCAACACCTTTTAGTAAAGTAAAAATTTTATTTCAAGTTTACAAGACAGAGAAATGGATGGGGAGAGAGGATAAAGTGAATTACAAAGCAGGTTTTGAAAGCAACCATTTATACTGAACCTCCAAGCTAGCTCCAGTGACAATGAGGGGGTAAGGCTAGGTGTAGCATTTATTTCTCTGTTTATTCCCCCTTGGCTTTACAAGCAAATTATGTCAGCAAAAACTATATCTGGGTAAATCATTCAGCAGCATTTATAAAACTGAGAAAAGATGAGCAGGAAATGGAATGATATTCTGATCTGGGATAGATGACTGAGCAGATCTTCTCCAACGATGCATTTAGGAAGGGGGAAGAATATAGAAGCAATATCCCTATTGGAACCCCGGAGGTGTTGGGGTCCCCTGTGGCTTTGGGTACCTGAGTGGAGCTGCCTCCTGCCTGGGTGTGGGGGAGGGGCCCCGTTTGGCTTGGAGGGTGGGAGGTGGCCTCCATGGACCATTGCATGCCCTAGAAGGATGCAAGGACTGCGCCTCTGGAGTCCTTGTGCCTCTGAAAGGTTCAGAGGCTGAACAGCCCTCCCAGTCTCCTTCTGGCCATGAGGGGTAAGAAGACTGAGGCTTAAGGCCAACATGGGATGCTGGGAGGGAGCTGGTGATGGGCAGAGCAGGAAAGGCTGAGCCTCCTCCCCTCTCCGCCCAGCCCTGAGTGTGGCTCCAGGAGAGGGCCGTGCTGAGATGGGGGGGCTTTGGATGCAATAGCAGCAGCAAGAGGCCAGGTCAGAGCAGAATTGCTGGGAGTGACTCTGGAAGGAGAAGCACTTGAGGCAGATTCTGGCCTCCAAGGCCGGGTGTGACAGCCTAGGAAGGCTCACTGGCTTCTTGCAGTGCCTGTTGCTCCTCCTCCTTTGGTGCCTCAGCCTTGCATCCCCTTTGTCCCTAGTGGGCAGGCTGTCCCTTGCTAGCATAATTCAAGTCCCATCACTCCTGCCTCCTTGGGACCACAAAGCCCAGGGTTATGTGTGAAATCTGTGGTCTGTAGGCAGTTCCTACCGGGCTTCCTGTCCTTGTGGATCTCGATGTGAGTCCTCCAGCCAGCTCATGGTGCCCTCTCCCCTTCTCACCCCATAGAGCTCCCTGGTTCCTCTCCAATGAACCAGCTCTCATTGGTGCATACCATGTCTCCTTGACCCAGTGGAGCTGCTATTTCCTTCCTGACAAACTCCCTCAGTGTCATCGTGTCTGCATTCATTTCACTCCACTCTCTGCTGTAAACGAAATCATCTGTTCCCCACGTGACACAACTCGTCGTGCTCATGGGACCCCCAGGAGTAGAAGGCATGCATCATCTTTTGGCACTCTCCAATCTGAGGAGAGGATGTAAAATAAGAGCAGCAAGTGTCCCTTCCCAGTGTGAACAGCAATGGAGCCTTTGGATCCCACATTTTCTGCTTTTCCCATGGTCACACTTCTCAGGATACATCCAAGAAGAGAAGATGTGAATGTCATTATTTAGTGGTGAAGAGGTTGGCTGTGCTTCCTAAGGGGTCAGTTGTGACAAGAAACTCAGAGAGAGATTCAGTCCATTTCAGAGTCCCTTCTCAATTTCAAATAAGGCTGATAAAATCCCCACCTCACAGTATGACCCTTCTCCTGAAAGTTTCTGTACTTTGTTTTATTTTCCTTTATCTTCCTAAAGGTAACATATCACACACACACACAGACACACACACACACATTAAATTAGATACTTATATATATTCATTGACATGTAAGATCACAAGATATAGTTTGGTGAAAAATACACAGTATAGAAGATTATTTATGTTTGATCACTTTTCTTTATACATATAATCTATGTGGTTACACAGGAACAGGAAAATATCTAGGACATTCGCCAAAGGGTTGACAATGTTTATGTAAGAGAGAGGAGTTCCAGGTAATTTGTACTTGAGTTTTTGTTTTCTTTAGTTTTGGAGAATTTCACAAAGATAGTCTTTCCTTAAAGAGAATGAAGTCATCAAAGATATACACATACAAAATAGGGAGTCAGAGGAGGTAGCAGGGACTAAGGAAAGGCCATCTCCCTCCACTGTCCTGGAATGCAAGACCTCCTCACCTTTCCCAAAAGAGAACTGCTTTATGGATTAATTTATGCAGTTAGAAGCCCACCCTCCACTCATTTCCCACCACCTGATTCTGAAAGTAATTAAAGGTTCATTTAGGGCTGAATCTACCACCTTACTGTGGTTGAACCAGGTCCTTCTGATGTGTGAAGAGGTTCTCAAAAACTTGTGGGTTGCTGCTCTCATGGTTACAGGTTTCTCTTGAAAGGTACTCCTCACCACAATATGAACAGAGGTCCGTGTATTTTCGCTTTCTGCATATCCCCAGGACCAGCATTCTCATACCCAGAAGCAGCACTGGTGGAAGGAGACTGAGCCCTAGAATTATTGGGGGAATCAATCACTAGCACTTGATCCTGAGGTCTGGCCCTGACTCTGAAGGGAGGAGCAGTTGAGGATGAAAGTGGAGGGTCCCTAGACTCCACTAGAATCACATCCTCATCTGAGTCATCAAGCTTATCCTCTGTTTCTCTCACGTTGCAATGGCAGTTAGCATTGTCAATCACTATTGGCTGGGGGCCCTCAAATGCCACATACAGGGCTGGCTGCCCTCTCCATTATTGGCTCAGATCTTCTGGGCCGCTTTCCCATAATGAAAGTGTCATCCCAATCCTCTTCCTCTCTTATTATCCTGATTAACTCCAGGAAATTAGGAAGTCGATCATTTGCATAAGTCCTGAGAAGATGCTTAAACCTGAACTGCCCGTCCCTATTCAGCTCAGCACCTAAAAGGTGGTGCAGGCGAATCTGGTTTGCATTTTTCTGAGCTAGGATGCCTGCCTGAATGGCATTCTGCAGCTACACCTCTAAACAGATCACATATAGGGAGCCTTTCTCCCTCTGTGCCTGCAGGGTATTAAAAAATTTACCATGGGCAGTCATACATACTACCAGATTTCCCAAACACCAATGTCATGGCCTGCAAGAAATCTGCCACACCTAGGTTGGGGTTGGCCACCTGAAGCAGACACAAGACCTCCCGGGGAGGGCCCCTAAGGGTTTTCATCAAGCGCTTGAGCTTTTCCTCCCCAGACATACTCCAGTCTGGCAGGACCCCATTGACTTGGATCAGCCAGTTTTCAAAGGTTTCCTCCCCTGGGGCTGGCACCGCCCTTCCCGAAAACATCCTCATGTTTTTCTCTGCCATGTTGGCCATTAAGGGACCGAGGCTCCTTCCCAGAGTTCTCAACATGGAATGGGCCCAAGGCAGCAAGTGCACGTCCTGCCGCAGGCATTTACCCACACATGCAATGATGCTGACCATGACTAATCACGATAGGGTATCTGAATATAAGAAGATGCTCAGGCTTTCTAGAAAAGCCTAATCTGCAGAAATCGCCAACACAACATTCCTGGGCTGTGCCTTCCTCGTATTTCAGTAGAGACTGTTAAAAAAAAAAAAAAAAGCCAATAAGGTAGTGGGCTGCGGGTAGCATTCTGCTGTCACATCCTCTACCTTCTTGAATCCTCTGCAGTACATTTTGTATCTGCCCACTGCCCTGAAAAAAAAACTGCAGGAGTCTGGCAATTACAATGTCTAAGAGCTGGCAGGTGTCTGTGTGCTAGCAGCCTGAGTTTCAGAGCCCCATGCAGCCCCTCCTGGAAGCCCTTCGGCAGGGGCAGCAACTGTTGTTAGGAATTACAGGTGAAACGGTGTTTAGTAGAGCCAGTACTGGGCTCTCAGAATAGAGCTCATTAATGTATGTCACACAGATTTATGTTAAGATCTCCACTAACCTCATGGTCTGAGATCCCAATCACATCCCCTTCTGCAAGTTTCCCCGGTTAGTTCTTAGATTCTTACAGGATCTCTGAAACTAGTGCTCGCCTTTATTTCGCTGCTCGCCTCTGCAACAGGTGCCTCCTTGAAGAACCTTGCCTATGGGGTATCTTTGACCTCTGTTCACAGGGGATGCCAGATCCAAGTCCTCAGGGTCTCAAGACTGCACCACAGCAGAGATGGAGGAGAGCGGAGGGGAGGGGAGGGGAAGGGAGGGGAGGGGAAGGGAGGGGAAGGGTCAGAAGCATCAGAAGCTGCTGTCATCCTATCCTGGTACCCTGTGCAGTCTCCCCTTGTTGCCAGGTGGGAAATTCCCCTGCCAGCTTCTGAATTCAAGTCAAAACTCCCCCTCCCATTACATTGCCTCCTCGGGGAACCGTCGGCCTACCCACTCTGCCATCAGCCACACAGAATTCAAGTTCGGATTCGGTTTGGATGGCCTGCCACGAATAAAGGGATCAGAAGTTGGATGCTCCCCACCCCCCATATTTTTTCCAGGAAGAGATGAGGAGATGCAAAGTAAGTTCAAAGCAAGACAGCTTGCGATTCCCCTCTCCTGCTCCTTGCTACCTTCTTGAAAATTCCTTCCCCACTCCCAGCCTCAGCCCCAGCCCCAGCCCAGCATTCAGGGGAAACCTACCCAGTTGGCAACATCCAAGTGAACCACACCTCCTTCAGGGCGCAGCCTGGCCCCGGGAGGGTTTCTTCCCCTGCCTCAGTTATCAATTCTCCAAGACTGGAGCCTCCCAGTACTGGCGGGGCTTTCCCCTCCCCCGTCCGTGTCCGGCAATTGAACCTTCTTTACCTGGGCCAAGCAGGTGGGCAACGGATGCTGCAACGTCACTAACAGCGCTCTTTCGCTTTCCCTTCCCCGCGGCCCTGCAGGGGAAAGAGGATGGCGCCTCCCCTCCGCGACTAGACCACCCCGAGCTGCCGGAGCGACTGAGCAGAATCGCAGGACCGAGTGGTGAGGGGTGGCCGGGTAGACTAGGCATCGTTCCCAAGGCAGCCGTGCCTGCTCCCGCCCTCCACTTGGGTCTTCCCAGGCATCCGCGGCGGCTTTTAGCCTCTGCCCATTGAGACAAAAGAGCGTGACGAGCGGGGCGGCGCGGCCAATCAGCGGGGCTCGGGGGCAGTCTGAGCGCGCAGCCCTCCGGCCCCCAGTGCTAATACTAGCGCGAGGGGGGAGCCGGCCTGCAGGGGCTGCGGCAGACAGCGCGGGAGCCGGCTCGGCGTCAAGTGCAGCTCGGACGCACCGAACGGGGCCCGTTTACCTTTCACCCGTGAGTTTGCTGTGCTTCCCCTCTCTTCCCTTCTCTCTGTCCCCTTCCGCTTCGGCTCTCCTCTGCGCTTTGAGACCGGGTGCCTTAAACACGAGGTGGGACAGAAACCAAGTGAACAATGAGAGTTCTTCACCTTTGTATTAGGGGGGAGGGGGAAAAGCATTTACCGAGAGAGAGCTTTCTAAATGCAAATGTATGTGCTCGCAAGGACGACTCATTTATTCCAGCCGGCATGAATGTGAGGGAGGTCGCCATGTGCCCATTTAATGGAGAGGGCACAGAGAGGGGACGTAAGCGCCCAGGCAGTATGGTTAGGAAGTGCAGAGCTAACAGCTCACACCCAAGAAAGCTGTCCCTCCTAAACGCTCCTTTCTGCCCTCAGAGTTGAGGCTGGTGGAGAAAAGCCAAAGTAGGTATGGGAATTTCAATGAGACTACCTAGAATTAGTGAGCAAAGACTCTTATCTCCATTTTACAGAATGGGAAATTGAGCCTCAGACAGCTTAGGGGTCTTGCCTGGTGTCATGCAGCAAATAAATAACAGCACCGGAGTTTACAGCCCAGGCTGGTTTTCATTGGGTGCCAACTCTTTTGCCTTGCTGCACTGCCTGGAGAGCATTTTGACACAGGTCATCTCAAACCAGCTCAAGAGAAGGCTTGATATGAGGGCAGTGCTGAGGGAGGGGTGAGGAGGCAGCCGAGGGAAATGGCAAGACCAAGGCAACCTTTTTGTCACCCACTGTAGGAAAAGAAATCTGAGACACTTTTCTTTCCCTTTCTTACACTTCTTTTTGCATTACAACAAGCTGCCTGTTGATAAAAAATCACACTATTTCTGTAGCCCTTTATGATCAAAAAGAGACCAGGCTCAGGGAGGTGGAATAATTTGCCTGCAGTTCCAAGGAGAGGCCCAAATTTGGACCGAGTCTCTGAATCTGGAACCCACACTGTTAATGAACGTATGGGTCCCAGGCTGACTGCCTGAGAATCATTTTGGAGAACTTGTTAGACATGCAGATTCCGGGTTCCCACCTCAGGAGGATTTTGACTTACCAGGACCTACAGGGGTGAAGAGTGTGGTTTGTGTTTTTAACCAAAACTACAGTTGATTCTGAGTTATAGAGAGGTCTGTGGGCCTCTGGTAGAAACATCATGTCCTGCTGAAGGTTATATGTAAGTAAATGAGCCTGCCCATGGCAGATCTGCCCACAATTTCATTGCCAGGAAGTATAACTCCAGGGCAGTGGTCCTACCTGGAGGGCTCCCTCCTTCGGCAAGAAACTTGGTCTCTGTACATTTCTCTGAGTCCATAGCTTTGTACATTTTCAAATGGGTCTGTAGCCCCAAAGCTGTTAAGCCCTACTCGCCCAATAGCTTTCTTCACAACTGCTTCCTCCTTCAACTCATGCTTGAGAGAGAGGGTGAGAAATGAAACACAGTTTAACCTAACCTCTGCGCCGCAGCTCTCTGCTGCTGATATAGCTCTTTCATTTCCTGGCTGAAGGATAGGTTGCTAGGTTGCCCTTCTGTGAGCTCTTCAGGGGACTTCTCCTTTGCTGCAGTTGGCATCGGTGGCGCCAGAGTAGGGGCAAATCCATGGAAACGGCATACACGGCTATCCAGAGTGCACAGGCCGTGAAACCAGTGGCTGCAAAACCTGCTCCATGTCCCATGCGTTCTGGTTCTTAGAGAGCAGGTGTCACTTCCTCTATGCAGAATGGCAGAGTGGACAGTGAGAGAGAGAGAGACAGACAGACAGAAAGGTCTTCCTTTTTCCGTTGGTTCACCCTCCAATGGCCGCCGCAGTCAGCGCACCGCGCTGATCCGATGGCAGGAGCCAGGTACTTCTCCTGGTCTCCCATTGGGTGCAGGGCCCAAGCACTTGGGCCATCCTCCACTGCACTCCCTGGCCACAGCAGAGAGCTGGCCTGGAAGAGGGGCAACCGGGACAGAATCCGGTGCCCGACCAGGACTAGAACCCGGTGTGCCGGCGCCACAAGGTGGAGGATCAGCCTAGTGAGCCACCGGGCCGGCCCTTCTGCCCTCTTATTTACAACACCTACCTACAGTTCCTTGGAGTAAATGATCCTAATTTTGAGATGAAGTGCCTTCCATCTACAAGTGTGGAATGGAAGACTGAGGTAGAGGTAGCGGAGAGTGGAGGGCGTTGGGGATAGAGAGAAAGCAGTTTAATTCATCTTACACAGTCAGGTAGTGGCAGGAAGTAGCTGTTGGGTCTTCTCCACTCTCACTTCTCTTTCCAGTACCGTGACATTTGGTCCTGGCCCTCAGAATTGTTTTGTCATTAGATTGGCTTCATTTGCAAATCAGACATCTGCAGTTGAACCTAGTAGGAGTAGGATCAAATAGAACCAAAATAGATCTCAGAGCGCTGACAAAAAAAAAAAATAACCAAAGGAGATGGATTGTGTAGAGACCGGGGTTGGGTCCTGAGAACAGAGTGAGAATCTTTTTGTACAGGGCAGAGAGGAGCATCTACAAACTGTCTCCAATTTGGTACAGACGATCCCTTAATTTCTGGTCTTTCATGTGGGAGTGCGTTCTCATTCGTTCATACTGATAGCTCTAATGAGAGCACATTTTCCAATTTCAACAAAGAAACCTTAAAAGCTGGAAGGTTAGGAGATAAAGCTTTCAGATGAAACAATAATAGCTACCTTTGGCAGCCTGCCTCCTCTGTGCTGGGAACTTTTTGTCTGTTTATTATCCATGTAAGCTTCTCAGTAATCCTATTGAGACGGGCATTATTATTCCATTTTGCAGATAGGGAAACTGAGAGTCAAGGAGGTTAAATAACTTGAGTAATAAGGCCCTACAGCTTGGAAGTGGAGGCATCTAGACTCTGGCCCAGGCCTGTCAAACTCCAATGCCCAAGAAAACTCCTTTGCTGTCTTCTAAACAAGCAATTTAAGGCATGTTCTGCAGAGGATTCAGGGCATTCCAGCAATTTGCAGCCTTTTCAGAATAAGGATTTCTGTTATCACACCTTTTTTATTATTTTAAAGAGGAAGTTGGTTTTAAAAATTTTTTTCTTTTTTTTTTAATTCTAAAGGTAGAGAGACAGAGACAGAAAGATCTTCTATCCACTAGGTCCATTCACCAAATGCCCACAACAGCTTGGGCTGTGCCAGGCTGGAGCCAGGAGTCTGAAACTCAATCGGGGTGTCCTTTGTGGGCGGCAAGGACCCAAATACTTGAGCCATCATCTGTTATCTTCCAGAATGCACATCAGCAAGAAGCTGAAATAGGAAGCAGCGCCAAGATTCAACTCCAAGCACTCCAATATGGGATGCCGGCATCGCAGTGGGAGCTTAACCCACTAAGCCACAATGCCAGCCCTGAGAATTTTTTTTTTTAAGATATATTTTATTTATTTTACTGGACTGGAAAGGAAATGGAGAGAGAGAGAGGGAGATAGAGAGGGGAGGGGGAAGAGAGAGAGGAGGGAGAGGGATATCTTCCATCTGCTAGTTCACTCCCCAAATGGCTGCAAGGCTAGATTTGGGCCAGGCCAAAGGCAGGAGCCAGGAACTCCATCAGGGTCTCCCACCAGGGTGGCAGAGGCACAGGTACTTGGGCCATCTTATGCTGCTTTCCCAGGTACATTAGCAGAGAGCTGCATCAGAAGCAGAGCATCCAAGACTCAAACAGGCCCCTAAGTGGGATGCTGGTGGTACAGGTGGCGACTTAACACACTGTGCCACAATACCAGCCTCTCAGAGAAATTTTCTGGGTGCTTCCTGTTCCAGCTAGACTAAATTGTCTTTCAGCTTCTACTTTGATTAACACAACCTTTATTTTGTCTTACCCAAACCTTGAGGGCAGGCAGTATGTTCTATTTATTTCTTACTGCACAGTGATTTACCATAATGATTTAGTAGATTATCAGTGCATGTTTGTGAGCGCACCAGAGGATTGGATGACGGGGTGCCCCGAATGAATGGACAGATGTGGGGCCGGATCCTCATATAGTCACCCAGGCTGCCCACTGGGACTAGAGTAGACAGTGGATTCAAATCGCCTGGGCTCATTTTACCCAGCTGTGAACTTAGGAGGCAGATCATAGGGTACAGGTGATGAATGCTCAAGGCCAACTCCATTCTGTGACCTCTGGTTTGGAATTCATGTTAGGGGCAAGGCTCTCCCAGATTCTTTAGGATGCAACTTTGTGGAAGAAAGGTCCTCCCTGCTACCCGTGGAAACACAAGATTTGTTCCAACCTGCCTCTTCATCTAGTTGTGGCTGGCCGGAACGTGTCCTGTAGGAGCATGTGCTCTGTTCACATTGTGAGGTGGGCAAACATCCTTTTTGTTTTGATACTTTTAAAAGCAAAGCCAGGGGCCTCCACTGTAGCACAGTGGATAAAGCTGCTGCCTGCAATACCGGCATCTCATGTGGGTGCTGGTTTGTGTCCTGGCTGCTCCACTTCCAATCCAGCTCCCTGATAATGGCCTGGGAAAGCAGCAAAAGAGAGCCCCTGCTATACCCACGTGGGAGACCTGGATGAAGCTCCTGGCTCCTGATTTCGGCCTGGCTCAGTGCTGGCAGTTGTGGCCACTTCAGGAGTGAACCAGTGGGTGGAAGACCTCTCTCTCTCTCTGTCTCTGTCTCTCTCTCTCTCTCTCTCTCTGTAACTCTGACTTTCAAATAAATCTTTTTTTAAAAAAGGCAAAGCCACCATATCTCAACTACTCTATCATATTTTATGTTACTAATCCTTGCAACAACCTTTTGAGGTAGGTCTTGTTGTCCCCATTTTGTAGCTTAAGAAACAAAGACTGAATGGACTTACACATCTTGTCCAAAGACACAGAACCAAGTACGTGGTGAAGGCAGAACTCAGTCTCACATTTATCTGTCTCCAAAGCTTAGCATCTTAACAGAAAAATGCACCAGAAAAAAAGTGGACTCCCCCCCACCATAGATTCACAAAGTGACAAATTAAGATAAGATATTTCTAAATATTGTGCACCATTAGCCCCTCAAGATGGTTTGCAAAAAACAGCAGAAGCAATTGGGGATGGGAAAGTACAATTCCTCTCTTAACTGATTGGCTGGATTGCTCCGTATCAACCTCCTGTGATACACAGCTCGGAGTGCTTGCGGAGCATGTTGCCTTGACTGCTCATTGTATAGTTGAAGTGGCTGAAGTTCCAAGCTGCCATTGAAGTTCTAGAGGTCACTAGGGAAGTGAATACTCGAACTGGCTCTGAAACGCTGGCCCGCCGAATCCTAGCCCAGTTTTCTCTCTGTTAAATGAGCCTTCCTTCTGGAGTTAGTAAATCCATGGAGTTAGTAAATCTCCCCCTCTCCCCCACTTACCAAAAAGGTGGGAAACAAGCAGAACGTTATGGTAGTCTGAGGTAAAAGAGGGTACATGTACCTCACTACCTGTCCTTATGCAGCTGCTGGTAGGACTTGGGAAAGAGGAACACACTTGGAAGAGCTGGGGGAGTGTTGGGGTCCCCTGTGGCTTTGGGTACCTGAGTGGAGCTGCCTCCTGCCTGGGTGTGGGGGAGGGGCCCCGTTTGGCTTGGAGGGTGGGAGGTGGCCTCCATGGACCATTGCATGCCCTAGAAGGATGCAAGGACTGCCCCTCTGGAGTCCTTGTGCCTCTGAAAGGTTCAGAGGCTGAGCAGCCCTCCCAGTCTCCTTCTGGCCATGAGGGGTAAGAAGACTGAGGCTTAAGGCCAACGTGGGATGCTGGGAGGGAGCTGGTGATGGGCAGAGCAGGAAAGGCTGAGCCTCCTCCCCTCTCCGCCCAGCCCTGAGTGTGGCTCCAGGAGAGGGCCGTGCTGAGATGGGGGGGCTTTGGATGCAATAGCAGCAGCAAGAGGCCAGGTCAGAGCAGAGTTGCTGGGAGTGACTCTGGAAGGAGAAGCGCTCGAGGCAGGTTCTGGCCTCCAAGGCCGGGTGTGACAGCCTAGGAAGGCTCACTGGCTTCTTGCAGTGCCTGTTGCTCCTTCTCCTTTGGTGCCTCAGCCTTGCATCCCCTTTGTCCCTAGTGGGCAGGCTGTCCCTTGCTAGCATAATTCAAGTCCCATCACTCCTGCCTCCTTGGGACCACAAGGCCCAGGGTTGTATGTGAAATCTGTGGTTTGTAGGCAGTTCCTACCGGGCTTCCTGTCCTTGTGGATCTCGATGTGAGTCCTCCAGCCAGCTCATGGTGCCCTCCTCTCCTCCTCTCCCTGTCCCAGATAGCTCCGCTTCCTCTCCATGACACCCCAGCTCCTTCTGCTGCACACCATGTCTTCTCAGCCCAGTGGAGCCCCTGTTTCCTTCTGGACTCCCTCAGGTCCTTGGGTCGGTACTGAACATTCATTTTTTGACAATCCCTAACTTCCTTCATGTGTCTCAACTCCGAAGGTGCTTCTCATAGGACCCAACCTGCTTCCTGGCCTTTCTGGGATGGGAACGATAGTTTAGAGTCCTTGCACTGCCTCTTTCCTCTAGCACGGGGGCCCTGAACTGGGGGCAGTTTTGTATCCCAGCAGATGTACAGCAATATCTGCAGATATTTTCAGTCATCACACCGGGTAGGTCACAATGGCACTCAAGGAGTAGAGGCGAGGGATGCACTAAACACCTGTGATAATGAAGAATTCTGCTGCCCCCAGTGTCAGTGGTACCAAGCTTGAGAGACTCTGCATTCTCTCTGAAGGGTCTTGGAAAAACATTCCCACTGTGTAGGTATTTCTATTTATTTGTGCCAAAATAAACTTATCTTTTCATTTTCCTTTCCTAGAACTTTTTGAAGTCCCCTTGTAGCTGTGGGCCTACAGGTTTTGGTGTGGAACTTGCCAGATGCTGAGCCTTCTGCCACTGAGCTTTCGGGAGCAGCTGCTCTTTCCTTTCCTCAGCTGGGGGAGGGGGAGGGGGAGGAGGCGTTGCCAGGAAACAGCTTGAACTCGGGCAGGAATCCACAGAGAGAAAGATGAGGGCAAGTCCCCCCTCCTCGAATTTACTACCAACTTTGGGAGAAAATATTGCACTACAACTGTTGAAGTCTTTTCTGACCCTACAAGATAGTGCCACTTTTTTTTTTTTTTTTTTGGAAAGAGAATAACAACTGATTATTGTAGTAGTTTATAAATTGCAATGTTTCATGTGGTGAAAATTGAATGTAACAAGCTTTGGAGCCCTTCCTCTCCTGATGTCATATTCTTCAGTTGTAATCCTTATTTGAATATTGGAATATTTGTCATTTCTCTAAAACTACATAGAGGTGACTTTGTGCTGAAAAACTAATAGCCTTTGTTTTAACTGAATGGTATTGAATTCCTCATTTCTTAAGAGTATGCCTATTTCTCAGAAACTGGCCCAAAGAGTTGCTTGTTTCCTTAGACTTGAGTTTCTTAGGGCTCCATTTCTAACTAAGCAATGAAAATGCTTGCCAACAGGTTTAAATGGTCAGTCTAACCTCTTTTCTTCCCCCTCTCGCCAGTTTCTTCCATCTGTACCCAGTGGTCCTCGGCATGGGGGAAGAGAACTGCTCTCCCAGGAAGCAGCTACAGCACAAGACACAAACGGAGGCTCCAGGAAAAAGCTGGCACTCCCAGGCCTACACCCTTGGGGCCATTTCCAACTTTATGTCTACTTTTCTGACCTTTCCCATCTATAAGGTTGTGTTTCGACAACAGATCCATGCCCTGGCAGTGTCAGAGGCCGTGAGACAGCTTTGGCATGAAGGTCCTCAGTGCTTCTACCGGGGCATCTACCCACCTCTCCTCTCCAAGACATTGCAAGGGACTCTGCTGTTTGGGACTTATGACAGCCTGCTCTGCTCGCTCTGCCCTGTTGGCCCGCATTCCCTGGGACACCGCTGGGCTGCAGGGCTCATGTCTGGTGTGGTGGAGGCTGTGGCACTCAGCCCCTTTGAAAGGGTACAGAACGTGCTCCAGGATGGTCGTAAGCAAGCTCGCTTCCCCAGCACCTTCAGCATTCTCAAGGAATTCAATTCTTATGGGTTTTGGGGGCGGATGTCGCTGGGCTACTATCGTGGCTTCTGGCCTGTCCTTGTCAGAAATAGCCTGGGGAGTGCTCTCTATTTCTCGTTCAAGGACCCCATCCGGGATAGCTTGGCAGAACAAGGCCTGCCCCACTGGGTCCCTGCCTTGGTATCCGGCAGTGTCAATGGAACAATTACCTGCCTAGTTCTATATCCTCTGATTGTGCTGGTTGCCAATATGCAGTCCCATATTGGCTGGCAGAGCATGCCAAGCCTGTGGGCCTCTGCCCAGGATCTGTGGGACACTCGGGGCCGAAAGGTGCTCCTAATCTACCGGGGAGGCTCCCTGGTCATCCTGAGGTCCAGCGTGACATGGGGCCTCACTACTGCTATCCATGACTTCCTGCAGAGGAAGTCTCACTCCAGAAAAGAGCAGAAAGACTGACTAGCTACAGCAAATGTGACCATGGCATCATTCTAATTCTAAACCTTCCCTGGCCAGTTCTCTATAGTTTACTTTGGCTTGGCTATCTAATACAGTCATTCTTTAGCATCCATAAACTGTCATTGCATGGGAACTCTTCCCAACTTCCAGCCTGCTGGGCACAGACCAAGCCCAACAAGATTCCTTGGTCAGAAAGAGAAAGTCACCCCAGTCTGTCCACAGCTTCAGTGGCCTCAGAGCCAGGCCTTTAACTTGCAATCCAGATTCAATGTCATTCCTTTACGGAATTCCTTGACAATAAGAGATAAGTGATAAAGATCACCTAACACAGGCACTGTGAGTTCTGAGACCTCTCTAGGTATCCTCCAGATCAAACTGAGTGGAAGTCTATTTTCCAAGAACTATGCCTGACTCTGGGGCTGGGGATTCCATAAAACTTCTCAGATGGTCATATGTTCATGACATTGTTCACTGCTTCTATCACCACCACTCTCATTTCTCAAGGTGGTAGGTCCTGGTTTCAAGGTAACAGCTGTGGGTAAAAATCTTAATTCAGCTTACCTCAACTCATCAGGTACCATAAGAACTGGTGGGACTGGAGATGAGAGTTAGAAGATGTGTGGTCCTTGGACAGAAAGGATAAAGACTTTGTAGAAAGACATTTAGTTACATGCAAATTAGAAAAATTTACTGTATGTAAATGATTTGATCTGCTGAGACATTTTTGATAACATTATCTAGAAACCACTTGAGTTTTACTAAGAAATCTGGAGATGAAATGGCCATATCTCTTCACAAATAATTGTATATGCTGTTGATGTGATTAAATATAGTTACTACGATGTAAGGATCAGACATCTTAGCTTGTCATTCAAAACCATTCAAAATATGGCCCTCATATAACTTTAAACATATGACCACACCACTCCCCTTTACATGTATCTCATACATCAGCCAAAATGAGCTACTGTTCTCCTCTAATATGCCATGAACTTTCCTCCATGTGCCATTCTCCTTCTTTTGGCCAGTCTACCAAAATCCTTCTTGTTCTTCAACCTCCAGCTCAGATGCTACCTTTTCTGTGGCATCTCTTCTGATTTTCTCCCAGTAGCCTGAGTCCTCTGTGATACCCCTTTCTAACAACACATTGTGTAGGGCACCGATTCCATTACATCATTAATCTCTTGGGGCCCTGAGTTTTTGGTGTTCTTCAATACCTCCTACTAGACTGTAAAACTTCTTGAAAGCAGGGATTCTTGTATGCATTTTAAAATCCTTCATGGTGCCTAGGTGCTCAGTAACATTGGTTGAATTAGTGAATTGACTATCAAGCTGTGATATAGTCTGTATCCTCAGGGTGCTGTTCCTTGTACACAAAGGTAATGTTCTTGATTCACTGTCAGCAAGACACACGCCTTTGGGGTATGTTTTTGTTTTCTTTGAATAGTGGATTTTGTTTTGTGCTAATAATAATGATGCTAGTGATAATAACAATAATTAAAAATTACTTTCAATGGGAACATTTGATGAGTTGGTATTATTTATGGCATGATCACACTGCTTCAGGAACTGAAATTTCAGTACCTGAAATCTCCCAAACAGAATCATATGGCATAAATATCCCATTTATTTCAACTCTGGAATTTCGAGAATTTCCAAGATGACGTATACTGCAGTTTCCCCCTTATAGATGACAACATGATGATGCCCTCCATTTGCCTCTCTTGACCAAATCAAATTTATCCTCTACAAACATCTGATTATAGCTTTAGCAGTGGAACTTCTTCACTGAATGACACAGAAATTAAAGCTACAGTTGTTGGTGATACATCAGAGAGCATTTACCACCAGGGTTAACAGAAAAATGGCTGACCCAGAAGGACTGTAGATGAGTTTCCACATCTCCAGAACTCCCTATCCACTGGTTCTTACATCCACAGATTCAATCAACCACAGATGGAAAGTCTTTTAAAAACATTGTCAACTGAGCCAACACTTTTATCATTATTCCTTAAACAATATAGTCAACTATTTATATATTACTTACTTTGAATTAAGTATTATAAGCAAAATATAGATGATTTAAAATATATGAGGGTAAATACTATGCCTTTTTATATGAGACACCTGAGCATATGCAGATTTGTATACACACAAGGAGTCCCGGAGCCAATCCGCCATGGATAATGAAGAAGGATTCACTGTACTTGGTTTGTGGACTTAAGAAAGTAGAACAGAATCAGTACAAGCAAAAACAAAGGAAAACAGTAATTAGTTGTATTCCAAGGTTAGCTCTCAGAAGGAAGAAAATAATTACAACAATTCACAACTTAGCTTATAACTTTGGTTTTTAAACCGAACAGGGAGATTAACTACCATTATCTTCTCAGTTTTTTTTTTAATCTAAGACCTTTATCTCCAAGTACACTGTCAATCTCCACTTAAATCAGAGTCAGTATATGCCCCTTTCTTCATTTTAACGTCTTATTTAGACACAGTTTCATACTTAGACACATGACAAGCATAAATAAAGCATAAAGAATTCATATACCCTGCGCCCAAATGCACCGATTATTAACACTTTATCCCATTTGCTTTATTATTTGTCCATTTTCTGCCTGTAAACTTACCAGGTATTTTTCTGAACTAAGAGTTGCATTCAGCAATTTTCAACATTTCTAGATTTACAGATCCAAATTCTTTAAAAAGCACTGTTCTATTTCTATGACAATGATCTAGTTTCAACAAAATATTATCAAATGAAAACTCACTTGCCAATATTTTAAATCTAAACTGGTAGAAATTGTCTCAAATTCCTGTATTTCCATTTATAAAAACTTTAAATTTACTTTATGAATGTTGGAAATTGAAGCTATGGAATTATAAACATGGCTTTATAACTCAAGCAAATTAAAATTTCAAATAAAAGATTTTTACAATTTTTATGTATAAACCTGGATCATTATTGTAAGATTATATAGACTTATCAACTTGTTCTATTTAAATCTTTTAAAAAATCTTTTTATTTATTTTACTTGAAAGAGTTACAAAGAGACAGAGGCAGAGAGAAAGAAAGAGAGAGAGAAAGGTCTTCCATCTGCTGGTTCACTCCCCAAATGGCTGCAATGGCTAAGCTGAGCTGATCTGAAACCAGGAGCCTGGAGCTTCTTCCTGGTCTCCCTTGTGGGTGCAGGGGCCCAAGGCCATTTTCTACTGCTTCCCAGGCCATAGCAGAGAGCTATATTGGAAGTGGAGCAGCCAGGACTTGAACTGGCGCTAATATGGGGTGCCGGCACTGCAAGCGGTGGTTCTACCTGCTTCGCCACAGTGCCAGCCCCCATTTAAATCTTTTGAGTAAAGCTTAAGGGTATGATTGTTTTCTAACAATTTTAAATGTTCATATTAATATTTAGCTTTGTGATATTGAAGGGGCTGCATTTTCCGACATTTTAAAAAATAACCTTTAGGACTTGAGATCAATAACATAAGGAGGTAAAAAATATCTATATCTGTTTAAAGCCTTATAAAATGTAAAATTTAACACTAAAGCTGGGGGGCTTCTCCGTGGCTCACTTGGTTAATCCTCTGTCTGCAGCACCGACATTCCATATGGGCGCCGGTTCTAGTCCCGGTTGCTCTTCTTCCAGTCCAGCTCTCTGCTATGGCCCGGGAGTGCAGTGGAGGATGGCCCAAGTGCTTGGGCCGGTGTGCCCCCGTATGGGAGACCAGGAGGAAGCACCTGGCTCCTGGCTTCAGATCAGCATAGTGCTGGCCATGGTGGCCATTTGGGGAGTGAGCCAATGGAAGGAAGATCTTTCTGTCTGTCTCTCTCTCTCACTGTCTAACTCTGTCAAATAAATAAAAATTAAAAAAAAAAACACTAAAGCTACTTGATATAAAAATTGAAAGAAAAAGTCATCATACAATCCCTGTATGGACAGTATATTTTTAAGCAGTAACCTCTATTTCCACTTTTTAATCAATAAATATAATCATTGCAGAAACAACATGTTGAGTGATGCATCAATAACAAGAGAAATCCTACGGTCAGCATTGTGGCACAGTGTGTTAAGCTGCTGCTTGGGATATCAGCATTCCATTTCCTAATGGCAGCTCAAGTCCTGCTACTCAGCTTCTTCTTTTTAAAAACATTTTAATGAGATGCAACATACATACATAAGCACACAGATACATGAGTTTTTTTGTTATCTGATCAGACTCATAATCAACATCCAAGAGAAAGTATTACTAGTGAAATTGGACATGACACCCCTAAAATTTATACAAAAATGTGGCCCTTTAGAGTTCCCCAGAAGTGCTATCTGGGATGCCATATATGCTATCGGAATTTGGGGTGCCATACAATTTCACCATATGCTTACTAATCCCCAATATTAGTAAGCCCAAGAGGGTTCTTGCCTAATATTTAGAGAAGAATTCTAAATACCGGCACAGATAAACGAGGCAGCATGGTACGTTTTAGGCTTTTATTTAATGTGAGAGGTATCTAGGAAAGTGAGGGTTTAGTTCAGGTTGGAGAGAGGGGAAAGTCGGGAAACTGGGGCAGCATCCATACCAAGCAGGGAGCAGGCCACAAGCCACGTGCAGCAAGCACCTTGAGCTGCTATCCATTTTAAGCTTTTATTTAGTGAGAAAGATGCATAGGAGAATGAGAGCTTTATTAAGAGAGAGAGAGGTAAATCTGGGTTCATACTGAGCACCAGCCATGTGAATGAGCATCTAGGCCGGGAAGCCTAGAGCACATGGCCCGAAGGCCATGCACCCTGGAGGCACAGGGCTACAGCCAGCCCCCTCCTGGCAAGAGGCCAAGGAAGGAGAGAAGGTAGCCACATTGTGTCCTGGCTTTTAACCCACTTCCAAAGGGGAGTGGTTAATTAACCTGATTGGCTGGTGGGCACCCAGGTATGGCCAGGTAGGGAGATGAGGTCACACAGGGGTGTGGTGAAGGTATCAGGTAGGGCGTGAAGTCACACAGGGACATGGCGAAGGCGTGGTCTTCCAGTTCACAAATCTAATCAATTTTAGCCTGTTTGCCTGCCTACTTCACTAGTACCCAAGAGTCATCACTATTCCCCTCCATTTCTTTTTTTAACATGTGAAATAAGTATACACTGTCATTTACATGGTAGGATTCAGTGAGGCATTATTTATAACTATATACTAAATAGTACTCTATATATAATAACTACCACAAATAAGAGAAAATGTTATATTTGCCTTTTGGGTATGGATTATTTCACTTAGCATAATGAACTCCAGTTACATCCACTTGATTGCAAATATCATAATTTCATTCTTTTTCGTGGCTGAGTAATAGGAGTTGGCAGGAACCCCAGTACTTGAGCCAGTACAACTGTGTCCTAGGGTGTGCATTAGCACAAAGCTGGAGACAGGAGCAAGAAGTGAGAACCGAACACAGCCACTTTGATGTGGAACATGAGTGTCCTAACTGTTAGACTAACTGCCTGTCCCTTAAAATATATTTTTAAACATTAAACAGTATTTTAATTTAATAGGTGTTCAGGATAGCTACATAGTATAGTTATTAAAGTTAATAAAATAATGTTATGTATGAGAGAAAAAGTTCTTATAAACGAGTAAGATTTTTAAAAATGCTGTATTTCCTTATTCATTTACTCCCCAATGTCTCTGTTGATTTCATATAATCAACTTTTCCTGAAATCTTTTAACACTTCTTTCCCTATAGTTTCCAACTAAGGATCTTTGTATATTTCATTCAGAAGGGAGAAGCATTCAAGAGAACTGCCAGTCAAAGCATTTATAAAACTATCACTCTGTTGCTCAGTGGGTTAAACTGCCGTCTGTAGCACTGGCCTCCCATACGGGCATCAGTTTGAGTCCCGGCTGCTCCACTTCCGATCCAGCTCTCTGCTATGGCCTGGGAGAGCAATGGAGGATGTCCCAAGTCCTTGGACCCTGCACCCTCGTGGAAGACCCGGAGGAAGCTCCTGGCTCCTGGCTTCGGATCGGCACAGCTCCGGCCGTTGCGGCCATCTGGGGAGTGAACCAGCAGATGGAAGACCTCTGTCTGTCTTTCTCCCCCATAACTTTGCCTTTCAAATAATAAATAAATTTTTTTAAAAAATAATCACTCATATAATAAAAAAATCTTAACCTCTTCCCCTCTTGTGTGTCTCTCCACCACTAATGACATGCCTCCCTCCATTCTAGAACTAACTCCTACCCTGAATTTTGTGATAATCATTTATTTGCTTTTGTTTATAGGTGTATGTTTTTTTTTTTTTCAGGACTCCTTTAACAAAAGTTTTGTTTACAGATGCTTGAACTTTCTATACATTATAAAGGTAGAATCATGACTACCTTCTTTCATCCCCCATTGTCTAAGAGATTCAGTCATGCTGCTGAAGGTGGCTGTAGTTGTTTCATTTTTATTCTTGTACAGCATACCACAATTTATTCATCATAACTTTGAGGGACGTTCTGGTTGTTGCTGGTTTTTGAATGCTACAAAACAGTG